GTCCCCAGAAGAGGCCTCATGGGTCATCCTGTGCAACGTCATTTCCAGGAGAGCAGTCTTTCCTATGGCGTCCTCAGTGGGTGCTGCTTGAATATGTCAGTGGCGGGGAGTTCAACACTGTCCCGTTTCATTATTGGCCAGATCTCCTCAAGAGAAAGTTTTTCTCCAGATCCAGTTGCAATGACTCTCTTTTCAATCTTCCCCGTTAGCCCTGGAGCGGGCCTCTGGGGCTTCTGGGAATTTGCCTCCTGCTCAGCAGTGGCTACCCAGAGAAGCCCCCATCAGGAGTAGGGAAGAGAGAGCGGGATGGAAGGCAAATGCCACAATGGCGTGGGACAACTGGGGGAAGCAGGCAGAGAGGCTGATGGGAGAAGCAGGGGGTGGGGCCTGGCTGGACCCCTCAGAAGCTGTGGGAAACAGAGGGAGCCACAGGAGGGAAGACAGAGACAGAGAGGGGACACCGGGGGAGAAGGGTTTTCTATCAACAAAACAGCAGGACAGATTCTGGCTGGTCTCTGGAAACATCTTCATCCCGTGCCTGAGGCCAGCTCTGAGCTCCTTTTAGCTCATTACTGGCAATTAGTCCTCTGGGCCCAGCCTGGGGGAGGGGGACACTATTAGCTCTCACTCCCCTGGACATACATACACACACACACACACACACACACACGCACACACACACACACCATGAATCAAGTTGACAGCTTTGCCTGGGCCTGCCCTCCTTACCCTGCTCTGTGTGTGGAGTGGAAAGCACGTATCTACATGGATGTGTGCATGCGTGTGTACCCACGTGAATGTGTCATAGGGCAGAAAGTGTGAATGCACGGGTCTGGCCAGTGTGAATGTGAGATTGTGCAAATGAGCAGGAAGTATGTGTGCACTTGTAGGGGATATGTACATACAAATGCTTCGTGAGAAAATGAGTGAACGTATAACTGAGTATGTGCACGTGTTGGGGTGGGCACCGGGTGGGGATGGGCTGTGTGTGGCAATGCCTTGTGGGCTTCCCTGTCCATGAGAATCCTGGCCTGCATGGTTGATACTTGGGCTGGATTTCAGGGGAAGAAAAGGAGCAGGCAGCTCCTGGGGTTCCTGTCAGCTCCATCTCAGAAAGTCTGTCCTTTCAGGAGCTCCTTTCTCTGAAGTAGAAAACTAGGACCCCCTGGGATGATCCCTGGGGCTGGGGGGACACCCAGAATTTACTCTTCCTCCCAACCCTTTTCTTCCCAGGTGCTTTAGTCCAGCACTATACAATAGAGATACAATGTGAGCCACATATGCTATTTAAATTTTTTTTAAAAAAAGGTAAAAAGAAATAGATCACATTGATTTTATTTTTATGCTTTTTTTTGTTTTTAAATTTATTTTTTAACTTTTTAGAGACAAGGTCTTACTATGTTGCCCAGGCCAGAGTGTACAGTGGCCATTCACAGGTGTGGTCACAGCTCTCTGGAGCCTTGAACTTCTGGGCACAAGTGATCCTCCCGCCTCCTGAGTAGCTGAGACTACAGGAGTGCACCACTGAGCCCAGCTTAATTTCAATAAGATATTTTATTTAAACCAATATAGCCAAGCTAATATCATCTTAATATGCAATCAATATTTTGTAAAGTACTAATAACAGGACATTTTACTTTCTTATGCTAAATTCTTAAAAATTGGAGTATGTTTTTCATTTACAGCACATCTCTATGTGGACTAGTCACATGTGGCTAGTGGCCATCATATTGGGCAGGCCTGGCTTGGTTGGTTCCCAAAGGCCAGTGAAGGGTGGCGTTGCAGAGTGGGGGGTGTTGGAGGGAGCAGGGAGCAGTCGGGTCTGGAATCAGTGCACTCTTCATTCTCACACTACCCCAGACCCTGCCGTCTCGGGGTCTTCAGGCTCCTTTCCCCACGGCAGTCATAGCCTGGACTCATGGATTCAGTTTTGGAGTCGTACGCTAGGAAGTTCTTTCCTTTATCTCACTGCTGTGCTTCCTACTGGAGGCAACAGCTCATTCCCTCCAGTTTTGAATCCCTGGAGCCCCCCATTCTCATGAGTGCCCCCATCCTGCTTTGACAGAGACACTGTGGGGAGGGAGGAGAGACTCAGAGGCTCAGTAGACAGGGCAGTGGGAGAGATGGGAGGAGTGGGGAAGGGGTGGACAGGGCGCGTGGACTAGGAAGTGACCAGAGTAAAAGCAGAAGGTGACATTTCAGCCCCTTGGCCCCCTTATCCTTTAGAGTTTTCCTGCCTCTTCACCTCTCAGATTCCCTGGTCCCACCTAGACTGCTCCCTATCTTCCTCCCACCTCTTTATTTCCCTCATCCCTCAGCCTCTCATCGTCTCCGCCTCTTGGCCTCACATCTCTGTCTCTCAGCTTCACAGCCCTTCACCTCCTCAGCTCACTTCCCGCTCCCACATGTCATCTTCCTCATCTTCCAGGAGCCCTGCAGCCCAGGGCGCTGGCCGGGGAGGGGAGACCTGCATGGGGTGTGAGGCCTGAGCCCATAGCGTCTCCAGGAGAGAGAAGGAAGCAGGGCCCTCCCTGTCCCCTCCCCTCCTCTTACTCCTCCCCACCCCTCCCCCACGGGGCTGCAGGGATTCCACAGTCTCGGGGCTGGAGGGTCTCGGGGCCCCTTGCTAATGTAAGGTTATTGTAATTGATATGAAGGTAATTGATAATGTGTTACGGTGAATAATGTCTTCAATTTTCTGCTAAATCCCATTTTTGTAGCCATCTGGGCTCCTCCAACTGCCCCCCTGGGACGCTGGGTAATAGAGAGTAATTATTCTCAAGTCATTTACTTTTTCAAAGTGTTTAGTGCTTATCTGTTTTACAATTAAAATGGAAACGACCCTGATTCACTTCCTTTCTTTTTTATTTAAATAGCACTCACCCCCCCACACACCCCCACCACACACTCTCAGTTACACACAACCACACAGGCACACAACCCTCACACACACACACACACACACACACACAGTCTCCTTGTATGCGGCAACATGTCCACATTCAAAGACGCAGAAATACATGCACATTTTCTTTGTTAGTCACACATACAGCGCACATATACAACAACTTGACATTCACCCAGGGACACAGCCTCAGCGGCGTACCTGCCCTTTTGCCATTCTCCTCTGGAGTAAGAGCACTAGGTGTGAGCACTGTCAAGAGGGGCGGGGGCGGGGCGAGTCACCTTGGATGTGTATGTGAGTGTGCAAGTTTATGTTTGCATATGGAAGGTGAGCATCTGTGTACACATGAGTGTGCTCAGGCGGTGGAGTTAGTATGAGGCTAAACATGAGCAAACATAAAGCAATAGTGGAGAGCAAATGCACAGCCTCACTTCTGTGTTTGAATGTGAGTTATTGGTGTGGGCAGGTGTGTACGGCTTGAGCGTTCACACTCAGTTACACATAACGAAGCCCCCTGTTGTGCAGTCCCAGCTTGGACACAGTCCTCAGGGAGAGGTGAGACCAACTCCAGAGGCCGTGCTGAGATGGCCCAGGACCCAGACAGAACCTCCTCCTCAGACCATGAGATCTGAACTGTTTATTGCCACCAAAAATGTCACAGGCAAATGTTCCATGCAGTAAGTACCAGGAGACCGCAAGGGAAGTTCCAAGGCACGTGGTGAGACCAGCCCTCCTCCTGGATCCTCCAACTGTCCTTCCTGTCCCAGGACTCTCTCTGTGACCCCCTCACTGGCCTCTCCACTGTGTGGCCCCCCTGAGGCCCTCACAGGCCCCTCACTGAGCCCTGGTTCTGGTTGGAGGTATGGAGGCAAGAATGGTCCTCAGTGACCAGGCAGCTTCCTCCCCCAGCCCTGCCCACTGGAGGCGCTCTATGGCCAGAGACTTTGCGGGTTGTGAGGCACTGGCCAAAGCACAGGAGCATATACACCCTGATCCTTCCACGTGACCAGGCATGACATCCCTCCACTGTCACACAGGCCCAGGGGAGGACTAGTCATTAGACTACTTTGGTCTGTCACTCAGGTGACCTGTGGAGAAGAGAGGTTCAGGGACCTGCTTCCCATTGTACAGATGGGGAAACTGAGCCACAGCATGAGCCAAGAGGACCATGGAGCCCCACCAGGCATAAAGCCAGCACTGGGCCCAGAAGGCCTAGCTGCTTTGCCCCAACACTGCTGTCCCCAGCATCTCTAGCTTCAAGCTCCCCATGCCTTTCACCCACTCTGCTCTGGACAAGCGCCCAGTGGCATGAAGTGCAGGGCCCTGCTCTTTGTGGGCAAGACAGCCCAGTACCAGATGGGCTGACCAGGCAAGCGCCTACTAAGGTCCAGAGGAAACCAGGGGCAGGAGGAAGGCCTAAGCCAGCGGGCGCTCTTAGCAGAGCACGCCTGCCACCACAGCACACCTGGAAAGGCTGTGGCTTGTCTTTAATTTTGCTTTTTTAAAATGGGTGGGGGTGGCGGGCGGTGGCATTTATGGGTGGAGGATGCGCCTTCCTGTTTTTTCTCGCTTCTCATATTATCTACTTGGCCCTCCTCCCTCTCTCTCTTGGAGTGCCCCTTCCATGCGAGTCTTTTTTTGGTCTCCGTTCCTGTGTTTTGTCTTGTTCTGTGTGTCTTTTGCGCGCTCCCCCCGCCCCCGCCTGCCTGTCTCTCTTCCCAGTCCCTTCTCCGTCTGTCTCCCCCTTTCCGTGGGTGCCGGTGTGTCCTGCTGGGTGTCGTCTGTCTGTCTGTCTCTCCCCCTTTCCAGGTCTCCACGCCCTGCCGGATTGGTGTCTCTGTCCCCGCCTCCGTCGGTGCCTCTCTGTCCCTGTCTCTGCCTCTCCCGCGGCCTCTGCCCTCGCACCTTCGGAAAGTAAACATTTAATTTTTTTTGCTGTTAATAGATTTAATGTTCATTTGTTGGTAGCCCAGGGGCAGAAACGCGTGACATTTCAAATAATTGTTGTTTCAGGGGTATCCTCTAGAGGGAAATGCGGCGAAAGTGTGGAGAAGATTTAAGCAAATGACTGTGTCAGCTTCTATTTACTCCTGACAGGATCGCCGGGGGCGCGGCTGCGAGATAACCATTAGCGCGGCCGCCGATAAAGCGGGGACGCTGCGTTTCCACAGGCTCCGCGGCCATTACGGGAAAGTTAGTGTGAAACATGTTAAATTATCCCCAAAGTGGAGGGAGCGGGGGAGGCGGCGGGGGAGGCGGCGCCCGGGAGAGCCGACGCGCCTCCGCCGCGGCTGGAGCGACGACGCGCCGGGCCGCGCGGGGTGACCGCGCCGAGCGCGCGACGCCGCCGTCCACCAGGGGGCGGCCGCGGGCGGCCCGGGCCTCAGTCTGCCCGCCGGGAGGGTGGGCGGAGGGGCCCGCCTGCGCCTCCCTGCGGCTGCGGGCGGCCTCCGCGCCTTCCTCGCACCTGCCGGAGCGCCTGGCTCAGCGCCTGTCCACGGAGAGACGAGTAGGCGGGATGCGGGATGGGCCTGCACAAATCAGCTCCATGGGGCCACAGGAAAAGGCCTAATTGTGGGGCTCTAGCTGAGGTCTGGGCCCCTCTTTTAGGGCCTCTTTCTGTCCTTAAAAGGCCCCCCAGGTGTTTGCAGGTAACATGCTTGCACGCGCCAGTACCTAGGTTTGTGCAGCTCCATGAGATGAGACCCGAGTTCACTTCTCAGATCCGCCTGTAAGCAATTGGGTGGCCCTGTGCACGTCCTCTGGACCTCAGTTTCCCCATTTGCAAAGTGGAAATAATAAGATCTGCCCCACATACCTCACTCCTTGAGGATTAGTTGAAGCAATGAGGCCATGTAAAAGTTACCTGAGAAACCATTAAATGCAGTACAAGTGACAAGTATTGTAATTATTGTCTATTAGTTATTGTTGACCTTCTGCTAAATCCACAGGGAATATCTGCACAATGCCACCAGTGGATGCAGCAGTGACTGGGAAATAGGATCCCAATCACTGTTCTCGAGTCTGGGGCTTGTCTTTCCCACGCCTCCTAGCTTTGCTCCTGTTGAGCCATACTTGGGGTAAGTAAACATCTGCGGGGTAGCCTGAAGGAGAAAACACTGTTCTAGGCTAGTCCCTCAACAGCATACTTAGCTTGCAGCACGCTTGGACTGGAGCATGAGCAATACTGGCTGGCAGCTCTGTCTTGGGGAGGGGTAGGGACCTTGTGGGGCAGGAGGGAGGAGAAGGAGGTAGAGGGGACCACCTTTCCCCTTTTAGTAATGGAATCTACAGACAGACTTTCTTCCTATCTTTCTTTTTTGGAAAAAAAAGCCCTTAAATTTATTGAGATTGTGACATCATTTACATTATATTTTAGGTCTTCAAATGCAATCTGTGGTGCAATGGCAAGTGAGTGCCTTGAAGAGAAGCATAGTCACCATACCATCTCCAACACATTGTCAGGGTTCCAGGAGCTCTGAAGTTCCCCAAAATTCACCCAACATTTTTGAAGTTCTCCTGAATGCCAGACCTACTAGATTCAAAGGCAGATTGAGACTACTTTTGCCTTCACTTTCGAAGAGGGAACTGATGTCTGCAGACCACGGCAGTGCCTGGTGAGTGCAGAGATAGAAGCACCTACAAAGTGGTGCATATTCAAGGGGGCGTGTGGACTGACTCCCTGAGGATGTCTGGGTGGGTTTCTTACAGCACCTGACATGGCATTTGACCTGGGGCCTTGCAGAATGGGGCAGAGACTTTATCAGGTGGTAGAAATAGGATACTACTACCAATAACAGTCCATGTTACTCTGCCAAACAACAAAAGCACCAGTGATAGTGCTTACTCTGTGGCAGGCACTGTGGCTGGCACTTCACACTAAATGCCACATTTAATGTGTTATAACAACTCTCTGAGGCAAATGCTCTATGTACCTTACTTCACAGATAAGGAAACTAAGGCCCAAAGAGACACAGTAACTTGCCCAAGGCCACACAACCAGCCTGGCATTGAGACTAAATGAAGCAGAATGCCTCTCTCCTCTCCTCCCACCATTCCAAGACCAACTGCAAAGAGGCTGAATTTGCCTTTGACAAAGATCATGTGCCTCCCTCTTCAACATCTCATTCATTCAACTATTTTCTGCATTTCTGCTAAGTGCCAGGCATTGGGCTGGTGCTGGGGGTACAAAAATAAAATGTAGATCCTGTCTTCAGGGAGCTCACTGTCCAGGGCAGAAGACCGGAAGACCTACACAGGTTAATCAACGACAAAGCAAGGTGCAAGGTGCAAGTCTGAGAAGTCCAAGGTGCTCAGGGCTAACAAGAAAGGCTCAAACTCAGACATGGGGGCTCAGAGAAGCTAGGGCACAATTTGGCAAGAATTGAGTCTGAGTGAAAGGAGGAGTTTGCCAGCCAAGGAGGTGGGATGTGGAATTCCAGACAGAGGAAGCAGCAAAGCAGAAAATCAGAGATAAGAAAGAGCATGGCCCTTTCTTCCCAAACAGGGGTGTGCCATGTTTGAAGAAGGTGGGGGAGGTGGAGGAGTGGAAACTGAAGAGGTTGCCAAGAGCCAGGTCATGTCATGTCCATTAGGCACACTGAGGAGAAGGGATCAAACTCAATGCACAATCTTATTATTTTCACTGAGTAAGTCAGATCAATTAAAGATCCCTCCTTCATACAGGATCTCAAATCTAAAGGCGTCTTTCAATATCTTATAAAAATTAGAAAGTTTTTTCTTTTTATTTTAGTATATGGGCCACCAGCCCAATGGGTGGCCAGCCCAATGTCACCTTAATTCATAAGTGGTTTTCACTGGGATTTGGCATATCATATGATTTCTTCATCACAGTGCATTGTCTCTCCAACATTGCTAGGACTTGCTTAGCTCTTTCCACAATGGGATGCCTTGAGCCCACATGTTGGGTCACACACTGGCATGGGGGCACAACGGTGGTGGGCTGTCCTGGCTCACCTCTCCTTTTGACGCCTCTCCTTCGGGTTCTGTATACACTATCTCTCACCTCTTTGTCCATTTGGGCTGCTATAACAAAATACCATAGGCTGGAGAGCTTATAAACAGAAATTTATTGCTCACAGTTCTGGAGGCTGGGAGTCCAAGACCAAGGTGCTGGCAGATTCAGTGTCTAGCAAGGTCCTGCTTCCTCATCAATGGACATCTCACTGTAACTTCACGTGGCAGTAGGGGCAAAGGAGCTCCCTCCAGCCTCTTGTAAAAGGGCACCAATTCCAGTCACAAGGGCTCTTCCCTTATGGCCTAACACTTTTTAAAGGCCCTACTCATACTGTTACTTTTGGCGGGTAGGATTTCAATGTGTGAATTTTGGGGAGACATAGACATTCAGACCATGGCAACCACTATCCTTGAAGAATGTCTCCTGTGGACACCACCAGTAGACTGCTACATGAGGTACCCACTGAAGGTCAGTTGGAGAGTTAACTGACTCTCATTGGAGACTTCAATTTTCAGAAGAGCTGACAGAAATGGAGCCACAGACAAAATACTGGAAAAGTGGCTACACGGAACCAAAGAGAGGACCGCAAGCTCCCTGGGGGAAGTCACATGAGGAGATGCTGTCTGTTTTCCCTGGTCCTCCTCCTCTTCCTCCCTGCAGACATCACAGCAGAAGACACAGGGGAGGAGAAGGGGTGAGAGAGAGCTCACTACCTCTCCCCACCCACATTTGGGCTCTTTCTTAAGAAAGAACTTTCTACTCAGTGGAGCCACCTGAAACAAGCGTACCTCAAGAGAGAGTGAGTCTCCTGCCCTGGAAGTGTTCAAGTAGAGGCTAAATCGCCCTAAAATGGGACTATTGTGTGGATGAAAACCTTGACTTCTAGAGTCACTTGGAGCCCCAAGACATTCTTCCCCAGAGGAGAATGATTTCAGATACTTTCAGGAGGAATATTTTGACCAAGAACATAAAAATGACTCAGGCTGGACACAGGGAACCCTTAGGATAGACACAGGGTCAACAAAAACAGGGGCAGCCTAGGTTCTCCTCCCCAAAGTGTGTCTCCCCTCCCCTACTTCCACGCCTACAGGTTCTCCAAGTGATCCCCGTCTTCTCACTGTGGTTCCAAAAAATGAACACAGATCAGGCAAGGGGCATGCAGAGGGAGGAAGTAGACACAGTTTGTAGATGCAGGACACTTGGTATGTCACCATCAAATGCACTGTCACTCCCAATACTTCTGGATTTAATCCTGGATAGCTCCTGGGGGACCAGTGCCTTGTTCATTGCTGTGCCGTCTGTGCCAGAGATGGACCCAGAGAAGGCACACAGAAAGCAGCTTGCTTGCTTTCTACTGTCTTAAAAAAAGATGTATATTCACTGTAAAAACTGTAAGCTATATAGAAAATATAAATAAAGCCAAAAATAAAGCCCACTAGAGTTACTATTTATAGTGACCATCCTACCAGACATCTCTTTTTGCCTTTAAATAAACATAGATACAGGTGTTCGGTACAAACAGAATCAAACTCTATGCTCTGTTCCAAAATCTACCACTTTAATCAATGGCATCACATGAATACCATTCTGTTTCAACAAATACAGAGCTACATGATTGTTTTAATGGCTGTATTATAGTCCACTGTTTTATGTGCTGGGCCAGTCTTCTGATGATAGACAATTAGTTTGCTTCTGGTTTTGCACTGTTTGAAACACCCTGAGATGAATGTGTTTGTGGACAGATCTTTCTACACTTGTACAATTATCTCCTTAGGCCAAATTCTTAGAAATGGAATTATTGGATCAAGGAAAACACACGTTTTAAATTTGGGCACACTTTGTCAAACTGCCTTCTCAAAGGCTGTACCTCTGTATATTCCTATCTAAAGAGGGTATTGTTAGTCCTTCACCCCCTGCTTAAACAAATGGGGACTTTCTTCAAAGACCAAATGACAACAAAAACTGTGATTCTTCAGGCCGGTTTGTGTATGTGCATGTATGTGTGTGTGTGATGATGGTAAAGGTCTAGGTAAGCCTTGTACACAAGTGTGATTGTATATATGTCTCTGCTGTCTATATAAACATAAGTCTCTACCACTTATGCAGAAGTTCTGCATGAATATTCTCAAGCAAGGGTTGTACTCCCACCAGATCCTCCCTGCCACCTCAGTGCAGGGATGAGGTCTGTTCCAGCCCCCTTGGCCACGAGGATATTCACCCATTGTCAGTCTTGCCACTGTCTCTGAAGTCTCCTGGCCAAGGTCATTAGGGAGAGGGAAGGGAGGGAGGCTACACTGGATTTGCCTATGGTAGGACTTGAAGTGTTGACCCAGACTTTCCTTAGAAAGTTCCCCTGACACCACATCTGAGGGGCATAAGACTGTGTGATAGAAACGGTGCCCAGGTCAGCCCAGATCACTCAGTCTGAGGTGGCTAATAGTTCACTCCAGAGGCCCCCCTAAGGGTAGGATGGGGGGAGGGTAATGTGGCTGAGGCACATGGTGCCTACTTTGCAGAACCTTCCACCACTCCTCTCTGCTCCATCAGCAGCCCTTGCACACACACCACCTCTGCACTCACCATTCACACACAACCCCTCATACACCCTCATTCTCACATAATCTGACTGTAGTAATTTTCATACCGTTACACCCACATCCTTGCATACAATCCATCCACAGAATTTGATGCTTACACACCCACCTACATAAACATGCCCAGTCACCCAATAGTCACTCCTGCATAGTCTCACACTGATATGCTTCCTAAGGAAGTGTAGTCACAGGTTTCTCCCAGAAACGTGGGAGAAAACCTGCTCTTTATGTTGTAGCAACCACATTTCCATACCCTAAACCCTGTCCAGCACTCCCCTCTTATATACTCTCAGAGCCCCACAGAATTCTCAATCCTACTTTCACATCCTCCTCAAATCTCTCAAACACATACAGTTACTCAGAGAATCTTATAATTTTACAGCTCATCTAGTCTACCCTCCTTATTTTACAAGTAGAATAACTGAGACCCTCAGAGGAAAAATGTGACTTGACCAAGATCACACAATTAGTTCATGGCAAGTTTAAGGTGTTAACTCCAATCTCACGACTCCCACAATAGTGCTCTTTCTTCTATGCCAGTCTTTCCCTGTCAGTAAGCCTTTCAGCCCCCTGTGCCAAGCCCCCTGGAGTCATTGTTATGACTCCCAGAAACATTCAGATAAAGCAGGTAGCTCTTGGAAAGACAGGCAACCAAATGAGTGGGACAAGTATAAATTTAAAATACAAAAAGCCTGCATTGAAATATTAATTGGCTTGTAGGGTGGTGCTAAGGCTCAGAGAGAATGTATATAAAACACCTGACACAAAGTAATAATTGTGAACATTTATTGAGGACTTTCTATATGGTAGGTACTTTATGTATTATCTCATTTAAGTCTTACAATTATTTAAAGTATGGTTCTCTCCCTATCACAGAAGAGGGAGATGAGGCCCAGAGAAGTTAAGTCACTTGTCGAAGGTCACTCAGCTAGAGAATTTTGAGACCAAGATTATAACCTGCTCTGACTCCAAGTCTGGTTTTAATGCATTATATTGTGAGTCTTCCCTCAATAATAAAGGTCCCTCTATTGAATCCTTACTCTGTCCCAGACACATAGTTTCTATGTATCTTTACATAGCTAAGGAGACTGAGGTTTGGGAAGTGCTCAATGGATGGTATTTTTATCATTATAGAGAAGGAGATTCCAACTTCAAAATCAAACTTAGCAGTATTTTGTCACCAGATAATTCTTTAGTTCATGTAAATCTTTAGTGGACCTGCTATTCCCACTGGTTCATTTCAAATCAACTTTCCTTCCTCAATGATCTGTAATTCCCTGCATTTCCCACCCCAGTGCATCACAGGAAGAGGGTCTCTGCTGACCACATATTCAGTTTCTCACTTCCACCCACCAGATGAAGTCATACTCAGACACAGGTCTCCCCACCCCCACTCCCACTTTGTTGCCCAGGCTAGAGTGCCATGGTGTTAGCCTAGCTCACAGCAACCTCAAACTCCCGGCTCAAGCAATCCTACTGCTTTAGCCTCCTGAGTAGCTGCAACTATAGGCATGAGCAACTATGCCCAGCTAATTTTTGTTTCTATTTTTAGTTGACAAGCTAATTTTTTTTC